GTGTGCACCACCAACGCCCGGCCAGGAGTACTTTTTAATTTTAACAAAATGTTTTTAAAATGAAAAACAAAATAGTATTGTTGTCGTCACTTAACATCAGAATACTTGAAGAAGTCACTTACCGCCACCTTTCATCAAGGGCCTGGAGAGCCTTAGTTCAGTTCCTAGCACCCACATAATGGCTCACACCCATTTATAGCCATGCACTTTGGGCACATATATCCACGCAGGCAAAAAACTCATACACGTAAAGAAAAAAACCTTGCAACAAGGTGGGCATGGTGGAGTATGCATTTAATCCCAGCCCCTGGGGGACAGAGGCAGGCAGGCCATCATCTAGTTCTGGGCCAGCCAGAGATACATAATGAGATTCTGTCTCCAAACCAACAAGAACAACAAAACAACATGGAAAGAGCCAAACGTGTAAAGTCAAGCCCTTCCTCGGAGCGGGAACTTGCTAGGGTGATGCCCCAAACCCTGCTGGCAACTGCTGGCAACTTTGAGTTACTGCTGAGTAAAATCCTTTAGTGTTGCGATGGACTTGTTCGAGGCTCTCTTTGCCATGTCTGGTGCTACTTGGAGCCTTTATCACTGTTCTTTTCCAGTCTCCCTACAGCATCACTGACTGAAACTCCTCCCTGTCTCCAGGTCATCCTGGCCCGGCAGTATGGCTCTGAGGGCAGGTTCACATTCACCTCCCATACCCCTGGTGAACACCAGATCTGTCTTCACTCCAATTCCACCAAGTTCTCCCTCTTTGCTGGAGGCATGCTGGTAAGTGGATCCATGTGGAACTGAAGGCTTTTAGCCAATTACCTTGGTCAAGACAGGGACCGTGGGTACTGTGAGTGGGGAGGGGGTTTTGTGCCTTTTAAAGCCATTGGATTTCCAGTAAATATAACAGGACATAGTGGCTGATCAATTTGTATAGCCATTCCTTAGGACCCTAATAGTGTATTTTAATACAATGCATACATATCCTGCCATATACTTTATCATCTCTAGATTACTTATAATCCCTAATGCTATATATATATGTGTGTATGTATATATAAGTATCTACATGTCATACTGAATTGATTTATAGAATGACCAGAAAAGTCACCATACTTGGTACAAATACATGCATTTCTAAAGTCTGTGTTTTTGCTTTTTGAAGTACTTCTGACCTGCAGAAGCCACAGTTACAGAGAGCAAACCATGTGAGCATTAGTCGGAGCATGAGTCTAAACTTTCCGTTTTTGCTTGTGTGCCCAGAGCTCTGAGAGGGGTCTGGGTATTGGAGCTGAATAAAATAATGAAGGAAAGTAGAAGAGCCATCGCCAGTCATTCAAAGGCAACAAGACTGCCCGACTCTCTTATGTTTTTCATCCCCAGAGAGTTCACCTTGACATCCAAGTAGGTGAACATGCCAACGACTACGCAGAAATCGCTGCCAAAGACAAGCTGAGTGAGCTGCAGCTCCGAGTGCGACAGCTGGTGGAGCAAGTGGAGCAGATCCAAAAAGAGCAGAACTACCAGCGGGTGCGTGAGCTGCGCGGGCGGGCGGGGAGCGCGCAGGCAGGGAGTGGGCCAGGGAGTGTGCGGCAGGGAGTGTGCGGCAGGGAGCAGGCAGGGAGCATGTGGGCAGGGTGGGCAGGGTGTGCCAGGGAGCGCGTGGGCAGGGAGCAGCAAGCTCCTCAGAACCTGTGGCTGGCTCCTGAGCCGCACTGAACATTGATTATGGGACCCCAGGGGGCTTAGCTATACCAGAGTGCAGGTCTGAAAGGTGAGTGGATGTGACAGGGGCCATCTTGTAATGGAGCCACAGTCACATACAGAACATTGTAATTAGTACCAGCACCTTAGGTGCTTTTTAAGGGTTCTAGGTGCTGTGTGACTAGGAACCAGAAAGGTCCCGTGAATGAATCTGTTGCCTTGAGTGTGGGGCAGGGGAAACTGTACATTGTCTACCAGGGCCTCCTTGCAGAAAATGCAAACCTGAGTTTTTAGCACCTTTCTCTCCCAATAGGAGATAAAGTTCCAGGGGTTGGTTGTTTGTTTTCCAGACAGGGTTCCTCTATGTAGCCCTGGCTGCCCTGGAACTCACTCTAGATCAGGCTGGCCTCAAACACACAGAGGTCCACCTGTCTGTGCCTCCCAAGTACCGGGATTAAAGACAAAGATCCAGGTTTTTATGTGAAATTTCCCTGATTTTTAAATGTTGACAAGCAAGGTAATACACGTCTTTAATCTCAGCGTTCCAGAGACAGAGACTGGTGGATCAATGGAAGTTTGAGGCCAGCCTGGTCTATATAGCAAGTTCCAGACCAATCTGATACACAGTGAGACCACATCTTGAAGGACATAACAAGCCCCTCTCACTCCCCCCCAAAAAACAAACCTACTGTGTGAGCCAAACAGAATGTATTTGGCCCACCACTTTGCAGTCTGAATATGTGGCACGTATGATCTTGAAGGGGCAGATTGTAACCCTGGGTGGAAGTCTGTACTAAGCGCTCCAGGACGCCTCTGTCCCTTGGGGCTGTCACCACCACCTTACTTCTTCTCTAGGTGTCAGGAAGGGTCAAGTGAGGACTGTGCCTGACAGACACCAGACAGACTTAGGAGAAAGGATTAGTCTGCCGGCAGTCAGCTAACTGTTGATGATGAAGGTAGTCCCTATAGGCATTTGGCTGGAAGGTGGGCAGAGTGGGTGGCTCTGGGACATCCTTGCAAACTGGGAACCCATCCGTTCTAGCAATCCTGTACTAAGACCTGCCGTTCATTCCCCCACAGTGGCGGGAGGAGCGCTTCCGGCAAACCAGCGAGAGCACCAACCAGCGAGTATTGTGGTGGTCCATCCTGCAAACGCTCATCCTTGTGGCCATTGGTGTCTGGCAGATGCGGCACCTCAAGAGCTTTTTTGAAGCCAAGAAGTTGGTGTAGCTGTCCCGAGCCTCTTCCTTCCAGGCTGTGGGAAAAGGACCTCCTGGAACTGGTTCCTCTCTGGGAGGAGGACTGGTTTTCAGCCAGAGATGTTCTGGAGGGGAGAGGGACTGCAAGCATGCCCCCTTGCTCCTCGGGCTCAAGCTGAGAACAGCAACTTGGCTGGCTATGCTGAGTGGGTTGTGGGATAGGTCCTCGTCACCTCCCACCTCTGGACCGTTTGCAGTAATCACTCAGGAGTTGGTGATGCCCTTGGTGTCCTAGTTTCTCGGTGTTACTGATCAGGGATGTGGGGCTGCTGCCTGGGGTAGGTTTTGGGAGGGAGGTGGGTGGGCCAGCAAGCTGATTTTCCTTCCGTCTTCCTTTGTTAACGTGGGGTTTTGAGCAGGTCAGGGTGTATCAGTGACTCCTTACTATTCCAGGAACCTTGCTTTTCTTGCTTTTGACTAAGAACCAGCCTGCTGATCTAGGGTGTATGTGTGTCAGTTTAAGGGTGGGGTGGAGGGGTTGCAGTGCAGGAAACGAGCCCAGAGCTTGGCTATCTTATAGTTGCTCTTTTTGGGACTTGAGCAGCTGGTAACAGGCCAAGCAGAGACTTTGGTGCTGGTTGGAGACAAAGCCTGCAGTGTTACTGAATTTATTTCCAATAAGTTTGGGTTTGTTACATTGGTTTCCCAATTAAAAAAAAAAAAAAAAAAAAAAAGACTTGTCCTGTGTATAGCTAATTCTTGGCCGGTTTAACAGTACATGGACTTGTGGGGTGGTGGTGGCAGATGCCTGTTCAATTCAAGGCCAGCCTCATCTACTGAGTGAGTTCTAGGACAACCAGGGGTACACAGAGAAACCCTTTCTTGAAAAACTTAGGAAAAAGTTAATTTGGTTTTCTATGTAAAATATAGTGTTTTGAGATATAGGGGCAGGTCACATGGCCCCACGTTACCATCTCTTCACTGGCCCTACCTAACTGGTCTCCTCAGGAAATCAGTCCTGTCTTTGATCTACCACATCTAGAGCTGACATACTAAGTTTCTGGTGTAGGATGCAGAAACCCAAGAGAGCCACAGGGTAGGGAAGGGTTGTGTTGTATGTGTCAGGGGTTAAGAGGGGAAAGAGAGTTAAAGACAGTAGCTTCTCACCAATAGTGGAGATTTGTCTTGAAACAATGTGCTTGAGACTAGATTGTGGGTGAGAAAAGACGCACACAAACTGCCTAGTTTGCCTGTGCCACAGTTCCCTCATCTACACAATGGAAATAATGTCTGTTCATATGGACTGAATAAGAGTACAGTAGTAAAGAATTTAGACTAATGAGTGCCACAAAGCAGGACTTGCTAGATATTAGTAGGTACTTATTAGAATATTAAATTTTGCCTGAAAGAAGAGCAGAGGTGAAGTCCAGTTCCTGCCTCTCCTTTCCTGGGGGGAAGCTGGCATGGGTGAGGGCAAAGGGAGTGGGTAGATTCACACAAAGACTGGGCAGATAGGGAGGTTGCTCTCCTATTCACTGTCTCAGTTCTGTAAATACTGGACAGCAGCATTTATATAGTGGTGACTGCCAAGCACTGCAGCAAATCGGTTTACATTTTCTACAATGGCCATACATAATGAGAACAATTTATATACCCAAGTGGTGAAACACTTACAAAAAAAGCGACTCCCTCAGAACATAGTCGAGTTATCAAGCAGGGTTTGAGTCGCAGTCAGTCTTCAGAGTTCAGCTCCTAACCACTATTTGGGGAGTCTACTGAACCCAGCCCTTCATCGTGAACTGGGTACCCTGCTCCAAGTTCAAGCGCTTATTCTGCTGGGCTGACAGCGATGCTGCCAGCCTTCACTGGGGAAAAGGAGGAAGACGCACACGACCCAGCTATGCTTGTCTGGTTTGGGACCCTTTGACCTGAGTGGGGGGAGGGAGTTGCCTCTTTGGTGACATCCAGTGGTTCCCTGCCGACAGTGTAAAACTTGTGTCCCGCGCGTTTCTCCGGGCAGCGGAACCTTTCAGGCGGCGGCGCTGGGATGCAGCCGGCGGGGCCGGAGGGACGGACCCGACGGACCTGGGGGCGGGGCGGGCGGGGGCGGAGACGCCGCGTAGGCCGGGCAGGCCGGGCGCCGGGCTGGGAGCGGGAGCTCCATGTCCAGCCGTGTCTCCCCACGATGTGGCCCTCCCGGAGGAAAGCGGCGCAGCTGCCCTGGGAGGACGGCAGGTGAGCGGCGGCGACCAGCCGGGGCCGCGTCCTCTTGCGTGCCATTCTTTTCCTCAGCGCCGGCAGAATCGAGGAGCCTGACGCCGTCGCGTCTGAGTTTCTGGGGGTCACCTGGGGTCTGTGGTTCTTGGGGAGGGGTCATTGGCGTTGGCTGCATGACTCTTTTTTCTGCCAGCTTCCATTCCTCACGTGTCTCTCGGTCCCCCTCTCGGTCACCGTCTCTGTGTCTTCCTCTCCGCATTGATCTCTCTTTGTGTTTGTTCCTCTAAGTCCCCTTTCGCCCTGTGTCTTTCTCCCTCACTGGTTCGTCTGTCTTCCTACGGGACACTGGTTCCGTTCGCGTCTTACAACCGATCTCTCTATGTTGTGGCACTGAGGGTCTTTATTTCCTTTCTGTCTGCACCATCACACGCATGTGACTTCAGATCCTATCCTCTTCATGCTTCTTCATACTTTGCGGTTGGCCCGGAAGATCACACCAGACAGAAGCTTCCTATGTTCTCTGCCTTGTTGGTTAGCCATTGCCTGGCTTATGCTAGACACACCCATTAGTTCATTTCCCGTGCTGTTAATACTTTCGTGGGTCCAACCTCGAATGTTAGGTGTGAGTCCAGCCCGATCTGAATTTAAGATATTTCTCACTGAAGCAGAGTGGGGGAGATGATTTCCCTGCCTAGATTTATGGGGACATTATACTTCAGACTTGAATACGCTCCCCTCCACCATCCTTCTTCCCCAAAACACACCTTAGTGGATGTTCCCTTAATGAGTGATATGTTTAGTAGGTGTCAAGTTTAGTGGGAACAATTTTGGTGGGTTTGTTTGTTTTTTGTTTTTTCCAGATTTGGTGTTAAAATGTGACAGTAATATAATAAAAAACCTTGTCAGTGATGGCCAGAAACAAACTGCTTAATTTTTTTTTTCTTTTTGGTTTTTCCAGACAGGGTCTCTCTGTATGCCTTTGGAGGCTGAAATAGAACTCACTCTGTATATCAGTATATCAGGCTGGCCTCAAACTCACAGAGATCCTCCTGCTTCTGCCTCCCGAGTGCTGGGATTAAAGGCTTGTGCCATCACTTCCCATTTATCACTTAATTTTTCTGACCTCAGTTTTCCATCTCTGAAATGAGGACTCATCTACTTGGAAGGGCTCTTTGAAGATTAATGAAGATCATGTATGGAAGAAATAGAAGAGAATTTACATCTCCCGATCCTTTTATTGTGTTCTCAGAAAAATAGATTGATGTTCATTCTGTGCTTTTGACACAGGGGCAAAGATCCATGCAGCCAATACCAAGCACTGTAGTAATTGGGTATTGGCTATAGAACAAGCCTGCTTGGGTTTGAAGCACTTCTAATTAGCCCTAGGCTTTGATTGATAAAGGAGACCAACCCTTTTTTAAAGTGCTCCTCTGAACCTGGGTATGGAAGCATCCAGGACTGCAGTTCTGGAGACTGCCACCAGGTGGCATGAACAATGTCTGTTTTCAATGTCCACTATCCTTAGCTTTATTGATAAAATTGGGACCATCAGTGGTTATGCTTTAGAGCAAAGATTGACAGTGTCCTTGGGCACTATGATCCTTGTGGAAAGGGAAAGCAAAAGAATCACTAGAAAGTGCATGGACTGTCCTCCAATCCATGGGTAATGGTCATTGCTTCTTCCCCCAAAGGAGGTCTATTACCCATTCTTCATCGTCTAAGTCTCAGCCCCGCTCCCAGAAAGAGCCCAGAGTGCAAGAAAGAATCTGTAAAGGTTCCAGGCTTGTCAGGCCACTTGCAGGTCTGAGCTCTACTGCTCCACAGTGGAAACCATCACCACAAGATGATGGGGGGTAAGTCAGTAAGCCTCGAGGGTGGTCCTACTGGGCAACCCTGAAGCTGCATGTGAGTCCTGGGCCTGGCTTCAGCGCTGCTGGCTTCCAGATTTGCAGTTGTGTCTTTAGAGAGAACGATAAGTTTGGATGTGGCTCCAGTGGACTTAAAGCATGCTTGGACTGCTTCAATCCTTCCCTTAACTCATTTGGCAAGCTCTTTGCTGTCTGACTGGGCCCAAGGCCATAGATAAGAATAGGACATGTTCTGAAAGTAGGATCATACAGCTCATCACACATAGTGATATGAAGAGGAAGTGCCAGGTACTATGGAAACACAAAGCAGGGGAACATGGGAACTTGGTAGGGGCAGTGATGACCATGACATGGATCTTTGGCCTAGAAAGATTGACCGAAAACTCTAAGCAGTTAAAGTGAGGGAGTGTCAAGTGGGGGAGACAGGTGGGGTGAGAGAGGGCTGGAGCAGGGAGGGATGTGGCAAGTGGAAAGTCCTCGTAGACTCAGGATGAGAGGGAATGGCTACGAGAAACTGCAGATTTGACAGAATCACAGAGGACTTTGTCATTGGAGTCTGCCAGCCAGACCAAGGACTCCAGCTTTTATCTTGTAAGCAGAGGCAGAGTAGCCATATGACTGAAAGTGAGGAGCAGGTCAAGGACCAGTAGTCAAAACGACGATCTCAGGAGAACTTAGAAGACCTGATAACCAGCCAGGCGGTGGTGGCGCACAGCTTTAACCCCAGCACTCGGGAGGCAGATCTCTGAGTTTGGGGCCAACCTAACCTACAGAGTGAGTTCTAGGACAGCCAGGGATACACAGAAATTTTGTCTCAAACCCACTATTCCCTGCAAAAAAGACCTGATGACCAGTTCCTGATAGAGGAAGCTTCCTTGACCTTGAACTGGAAGTCCACCATGGCCACCATGAAAGGCTTTCCATCTGTTTTGTTGTAACTGTTAAACTAAAGGGCAGTTGCTCAGCATCACCCCAGTGTCTGAGATATTCATGTTTTTCCAGTCTTTTACATGTAGGATATAGGTGCTGGATGAACCCAGCCCTGTGTCCTCTGCCTTCCTTTATCTCTTGTCGTCTTGTGAGCTACTCAGTGACCGGACACTTTCCCTTTAGCCCTTACATTGGGTAGTTTTAAGCTTCCTAGACTAAACATTGGCCGTTTCACCTGGGGCTTATGTCAACACACACCCCTTGGGGAACTCTCTGGGCATCCTGGCAGCACTACAAAATTACACTTCTGCTGGGGTGAATTTGCTGGGGAGTGAGTTTGGAAACCAGTGGGTTGTATCTTTCCAAACTGGAACCCCTGTCATTGGCTAAGGACCTCAAGACACTGTCCTAGGGAGAAACGGATTTGACACAATAAGCCTGCCCTTTCCCTTGAGCACTCTGATCAGGGTTTCTCAGAATGTGAAAAATCACCGACAGCTGGGGCAGCTCTGTCAGCTATGAGTGGGCCGAGTGTCCCAGGGGTAGCGCAGGCTGGACCTGCAGAGGTGAGTGGGCCGAGTGTCCCAGGGGTAGCGCAGGCTGGGCCTGCAGAGGTGAGTGGGCCGAGTGTCCCAGGGGTAGCGCAGGCTGGGCCTGCAGAGGTGAGTGGGCCGAGTGTATATGGTAGTAGCATGAGCAAAAACATCAAACATTGCTTCTGCACTGATTCCCAGGTATTTAGGGAAGGCAGTCGTTTGGACCTAGAGGAGGAGGCCAGAGAGATGGTCTTGAGAGATCTCAGCTGGCCTGTCCTCCTGACCTCCTTCCTGCTCTTATCCCAGGACCAGGTTACTTCCTGCAGGCCTCCGCCGGAAGTGCTCCATCTTCCACCTCTTCATTGCCTTTCTCCTATTGGTCGTCTTCTCCCTGCTCTGGCTACAGCTCAGCTGCTCCGGAGATATGGCCCAGGTGACCAGGGGACAAGGGCAGGAGACCTCGGGCCCACCTCGGGCTTGCCCTCCAGAGCCGCCCCCTGAGCACTGGGAAGAAGACGCATCCTGGGGGCCGCACCGCCTGGCAGTGCTGGTGCCCTTCCGGGAGCGCTTTGAGGAGCTCCTGGTCTTCGTGCCCCACATGCACCGCTTCTTGAGTAGGAAGAAGATCCAGCACCACATCTACGTGCTCAACCAGGTGGACCATTTCAGGTGAGGACCGGCCACGAGCCAGACTTCCGCTCCCACTGCCTGTCCTTGCCCACGGCTCTTAGCGCTCAGAGGGCTGGGGCCTGTCAGGGCTGCTGGGAGGGGATGCACACCTCACTGGGTATAGAGAGGGCCTTTGGGTGGGCCCAGATCGAACGTCTTCTCCAGAAAGATCACTGTTTGTGGAATGAGTTAAAGGACAGGAGAAGCAGCAGTGTCGCGGGGTCCCCAGGAGTGCTGAGCCGGGTCCCCAGGAGTGCTGAGCAGGGGTCCCCAGGAGTGCTGAGCGGGGTCCCCAGGAGTGCTGAGCAGGGGTCCCCAGGAGTGCTGAGCGGGGGGGGGTCCCCAGGAGTGCTGAGCGGGGGGGGTCCCCAGGAGTGCTGAGGGGGGGGTCCCCAGGAGTGCTGAGGGGGGGGTCCCCAGGAGTGCTGAGGGGGGGTCCCCAGGAGTGCTGAGCCGGGTCCCCAGGAGTGCTGAGCTGGGTCCCCAGGAGTGCTGAGCCGGGTCCCCAGGGGTGCTTTCCTTAATGCCTGCTGTCCTCACTCACCTCCCAGCAAGGACTGTCCCGCCATGGGGCCTCTGTCTCTTGCATGGGCTGCTCACCCTGTCCTGGTGATTCATATCGTGCATGCACAGAGATAACGCTCCTCCAAGAGAAAGGAGCAGGGAGGCAAGGAGTTTGCCACCGAGCCTGACAAACCCACATGCTGGAAGGGGAGTTCGCACTCTGACAAGCTGCCCTTGGCCTCCCAGTATGTGACTCACATGTGAAATTAATGTTTTAAAAGGAGGGAGCCAGGAATGGGGGTCCACTCCTTTAACCCTGGCACTGGGGAGTCAGGTTGGTGAGTCTCTGGGAGTTTAAAGCCAGCTACAGATCAAGTTCCAGCACAGCCACGGGTGCATAGTTAGACCCTGTCTTGAGAAAGAGGAAAAAGGGGGGACAAAAACTTCTGTTCAATAGCCCCCCATCACCCTACTTCATCCCTCCTTCAAGGCGCTCTTTCCCTCTCAAAACAGTTTCTCTGTCACCCAGGCTGCCTTGGAAAACTCACTCTGTAGTTATGCAAGCCAAAAGGGCTCTTTGTCTGTCACAGCATCCAGTCCATCGGCAGATCCATCATCCAGCCCATCCACTTGTCGCCATTCCCTCTGCTGCCCGCCTGGGCCAGGCCACCTCTCAGTGCCTCCCAGTGTCTTCCCCAATCCCTAATCTCTTCCCAGTGTGCTCATTTAGCTTCCTGGTGTCTGCTCTTGGGGCCTTGACAGTTACTTTCCCCCTGTGTGGAGCCCTGTCCCCAGCTTCCATGTGGTCATTCCCTCAGACTTTCAGGTTCCAACTTAGACATCGTCCTGCCACGCTGCTGTCCTGACAGCTGTGTGGAATAACTGCCCAGCCACCCTGCCCGTTCCCTTCCACCCTCTTTGACTTTTTTCTTCTTCCTGGAAGGTCCTTGAGAACAGGGATTTGTTTCTCGATGCTGCTGCTTCCAGTGTGGTTTTGAAATTTCTGGTGCTCCGTAAACACGTAGGCAGCAAGCAGAGGGCCAGTGCCCCCACAGTTGGGTGGTGACAGAGAAGGAACTCTCATACACAGCTAGGGCTAGAGCTAGGTTGATGACAAGCTTGCTTCCTCTACCTAGCGTCGTTTATCTGTGTTGCATAGGTTCAATCGGGCAGCACTCATCAACGTGGGCTTCCTGGAGAGCAGCAACAGCACAGACTACATTGCCATGCATGATGTGGACCTCCTCCCTCTCAATGAGGAGCTGGACTATGGCTTCCCAGAGGCTGGGCCCTTCCACGTGGCCTCCCCAGAGCTCCACCCTCTCTACCACTACAAGACTTATGTGGGCGGCATCCTGCTGCTCTCAAGGCAGCACTACCAGCTGGTGAGGTCCAGCCCTACCTGCTCTACTCATTTGCTGGGGACCTTTCCCACCAGGGGTCTAGGCAGGTGGGGTAGAGCGGCCTTCTGGGGCCCAGCAGATGGAGCCTTGCCTGAGCCTGATGGGGACTCAGCAGCAGCCAGAGACGCGAGAAGTCCAGGAGTGAGCATGTTAGCTAGGAAGAGCCCTGCTGTGGCCCCAGAGAGCTGGGGATGTGATGGCCACAGAGTCTTCTCCATCTCAGCAGCGTCACCACACCCTCTCATGTGAGGAGGCTGCACAGCCCGTACATGGCCTGGCTGGTGGGAGATGAGTTTCTCCCTCCCCAGAAGTCTAGACAGAAGTCCCAGACTAAAGCATACTGCTTCTTGATGGGACCCAGGGGCACAGAGGGGTGAGAAAGTCAGTTACTGTTCTCTGTCCTCCGTGGCTGCAGCCTTGAGCAGATGCTAATCAATGTGTCCCTCAAACCACAGGAAAAGAGCTAGGCAGAGCCACCTCAGGAGGACGGATAGGAGAGGAAGGCACCTTTGTCCCCCCCCCCCCCCCCCGAGGGGAGCTGACACTGGAGGCTTTTATCACACACAAGTTCAAGGCCCTGCTAGAAGCAGGGAGGGGGGGCCCTAAGGTGTGCTGATCCTTCCCTTCTCCCCCACATCCCGGTTGCAGAGTGAAGGGACCTGCCAGCACCCTGTGTCACTCAGAGCAGTCAGGGCAGGCAGAAGAAAGGGGAGCCTGGCTGGCTGGGCTCGGGCGTGGCTCTCCCGAGCAGTGAGAGACTAACGTGCAGCCCTGGGAGGAGGGGCATGTGACAGACACTGTCTGTCTTTGTGTCAGTGCAATGGGATGTCCAACCGCTTCTGGGGCTGGGGCCGAGAGGATGACGAATTCTACCGGCGCATCAAGGGAGCTGGCCTCCAGGTAAGGCTCCTTCCTGGCTCCGCCTGGCCCTGGCCACATGGCCGTCCTGAGGGTCCCTGGACTTGCTGCATCCTGGGATTTGCAGTTGGTCTCCCTGGTTTGATCCCCGCTTTCACCCTGACTTTGAGGGCTTATCCAACCAGTCCTGTGCTTTCTGCTAGTCTCCTGTCCTTCAGGGTGGCAGATGCCAGAGGGGTTAGTGGTAAGGGCCATGATGCCAGGAGAGGCAGCCTGACACCCACTTCCTTTGTTTTCCCTAGCTTTTCCGCCCCTCAGGAATCACAACTGGGTACCAGACATTTCGCCACTTGCATGACCCAGCCTGGCGGAAGAGGGACCAGAAACGCATTGCAGCTCAGAAACAGGTGTGACCAGTGTCCTGTATGGTGGGGGATAGGTGGGAACCAATGGGTCATTTCACTGAGGCTCCGTTGGGCCCAGATGGTCAGTTGCTGGCCTTTTCCACAGGCACCTTGCCCTGCTTGGTGGCTGCTGTGTGCATCTGGGCACTGTGGGTCAGCCCGCAGAGAAGTCTGAGTTTTCTTTACTGATGGGGTGCAGGCATGGAAAGATGGCAGCTTTGGGCTCTTCTCCCTTAATGGAGATGGGCGAACAGCTGGCACATGAGTGTGAGTTCGTGTCCCTTCTCGTCCCTTCTCTTCCCAGGAACAATTCAGGGTGGACCGGGAGGGAGGCCTGAACACTGTGAAGTACCGGGTGGATTCCCGCACGGCGCTGTCTGTAGGAGGGGCCCCCTGCACTGTCCTCAATATCATGTTGGACTGTGACAAGGCAGCCACCCCGTGGTGTGTATTTGGCTGAGTTGGCTAAACAGTAGGGAAGCCTATGCTTCTGGACCTCGATGCTGCTCAAGCTCAGGAAACCTCAGGCCTTAGGCCCAGCTCAAGAGGACGCAGAGTGGCCTGAAGGAATAGACAGGGGCCAGCTCCGTATCTGCAGCAACCTGGGCCAGCTCCGTATCTGCAGCAACCTGGGCCAGGCTCAGGACAGGACACTGGGAGTTCCTGGGATGCTGCTGGAAAATCTTCAGAGAGAGGCTGGAGGCATGGCTTTGTACTGGGGTCTCCACCCTGCCTTCTTGCTCACCCTGCTCTTCCTGCCCGCCCACACTGAGGCCCAGGGCAAAGCTCAGCCATTTGCTCCTTTGGAATAACAGCCTCATGCAAAGATGTAGTTATAAGCCAAGTGGCCCATGTGTGTGGCAGTTGCTGTTAGGAGGCTTAGGACTTCAGAAGGCAGCACATGAGCCCTAGGCAGAGGAGCAGCTAATAGTGGCTGTAGCTGGTTGTCACCACGGAACTGGGTGGGGTAGAGTGCTTGTGTCACCAGATCTCACTTTTCAAAAGAAACTAGAATGCTGGATTCTTACGGAGAATTTTCTGATTGTAAATGGTAGCAGATAACTAAAACTTTAAAAAGCTATGGCAGGCCAAACAAAATGTTTTGTGGAGCACTGGTTTGTCACCTTTGGTTGACTGGGTGGAGGGGGCTTATACACTGGCAAGGCTTTGGATTGGGGTAGGTGTGACGGTGGTGGGCGTAGGTAGGCAGAAAAGCCAAACACACAGGTTCCTACACTGCCGACCCTCCGGCTCATGAGCTGCCTCGGAGCTGTGTCCAGAGCTGCTCCCCGCTGCCTTCCTGGGGAGTACAGAAACTGGGTAGTAAGTCACAGTCCCTGCCCGGGGTGGACAGGACAGCTCTGAGGAAGCTGTGTCCCTGAGGTGGGAAAGCTGAGAAGTGGCAGAGTCCCATGAGTGTCCCCGTGGCTTGAGGGGAGATTTCCAGCTGGGATGCAGGACGTGTGCTGAGGTAGAGTGAGGGATTGGGAAGTGATCTGGGAGGAAGCCTAGTGTTAACCCCACTGGGAAAGAATGTGATCACCACAGTGCTTTGAGCCAAATTTGGGGCAAGCTTTATTAAATGCTGGCCAGGACAATGGACACTGGCTGGGTTCACGCCTGGGATTCGTAGGGTATGTCACAGAATTACATTTTTTGTTTAAAAATACAAAACCTACAAGGCTGTGTACTCCCACCATTGTCCAATCAGGAGCAAGCATACGTCCTGGTGGCCCTGCCTGTGTGCCATCAAGCCGGTCCTGTACAGTTGGGCAACCACGCTTGTTTACTGAAGTGACAATATGTGGATTTTATCTTACATGACAACACTCCAGGAAGCTACCTATCCTTGGGCTAGTGGGGCTTATAGGTTAGAAGCATTTCTTTTTATAGAGCTCTTGAGCTCAGTAATTTAGACTTAAAACATAATGTTCGCTGGCACATGTAGCACCAAGAAGAGCAGGAAATGAGTGTCCATGGGTGCAGTCCACTATCAAGGTCAGCCTCACACGGGAGCTAGAGGGGCATTTGATTCACTTAAGGTGGTTGGTTGAACACTGGGACACCCAAAGTGCTGTGGAGGGGGCGGCCCGTACTCGAGGGTTGAGAGAGAGTAGAACCCACAGCTTTGCTTCAAATTCAAAGATTTCAGGCCCTCTGCATGCAGTTGGGAGGATTGTGTGCTGTGAAACCTGAGTACAAATTGAGAGGTATAGGCTGACACGAGGTGAAGCTTCAGGTTCCAGAGTGTACTTTGGGGTCACTGCAGTTCTAAACTGAGGCTGCCCAGGGACTGAGCCTCACCCACAGCACTGAGAGGTAAGCCTGCCTGGCTTACAGTACGGGGCCATGGAGATAGAGAGGAGGCTGCGCTCTGCTCTTCTCATCTAGGGTTTACATGTCACCAGGGCAGTAACTCACGCCTCCTGGGGATGTGACAGCGAAGCCCTCAGCTCTGCATTTCCCTGGCATGTAGAGGAAACTGAGAGGGTGAGGGGCCTGTCTACCTGCACTGGGGTTGTAGAACCAGCAAAAGAAGGGCCAAGACGATGCTGTCTCTGCTCCATACTCCCCTTTGGCTGCTGTCATCGCCATTGTGTGATGTCATTATCGTCATTGGGCTGGTGCACCCCACATCTGTAGCCTCCCTTGCTCCTGATTCTCTCCCATTCCTGGAGAATGAGGAGTACTGAACCCTGGTGAGCCAGGGGTAAAGGACATGACAGTCTGTCTTGGTGTTTTCCTCTGCCCACTTTGTGCACTGGATCCAGCTAACAGTCCTCCTACCTTGCTACTGGGGATGTGGATAAAATGTGCCAGGACATAAGCATACCTGGCTGGTGTGGGTGTGGATAATGACCGTCATTTGGAGAGCAATCACCGCTTTCTCCACCTGCCTTAGGGTTCTCTAGAGGAACAGAACAGATAGAATTAATCTATTCTATAATAGTTATTCCATACACAAGGCTGGATGTCTCAGCTGGCCTTCAGTCAATGTTGGAATTCCAAAGAAGTAGGTTCTAATGTGAGTGCAGGAATGCCCCCACAGCAGGATGGGTGAACTTGCCAGCCAGAGCGAGGGCAAGCAGGCAAGAAGCAAAATGTCCTCCTTCCATGTCCTTTTATGTGGGCTGCCAGAAGGTGTGGCCAAGGGTTAGGATGTGCCTTCCTGCTTCAAATAACCTGATTTTTAAAAAAGCCCCCAGAGGAGTGCCCAGTTGCTTGGATTCTAGTTAATTCCAGATGTAAAGTTGACAACCAAGGGCAGCCATCATACCACCTAGAGCTAGGTGCTGTCTAGATGACAAAGCAGGGACACACAGACACGCAGACTCAAAGAGCTAGCCTGACTCAAAGATGACAAATGCTGGACTAGGGAGGAGTCTCCCTGTGCTCCACTTCCAGAGCTTACATGATAGATGCCCCAGCCTCCTTCCTTGAGGGCTTCCTACCTTTTCAAAGGGAGAGGCCCACAGGGAGGGCTGCCGCAGTGAGTTACTCCCCGGCCTCTGGGAGGAAAGCTGGCCACAGGAGATGCAAAGTCCTGGGCCCCGTAGCTCTTCTGACTCAAGGAAGATGATGAGTTTGACTGCAGGGGAGGTCCCTTGAACTGAGGAACACTGAAGGGACATCAGTGTGCCTCTCAGAGCATTGCACAGTGACAGGCCACACAAGCCTGGGGAAGGCTTGCTGGTGGTTTGTCAGAATGAGGAAAGCTTCCAGAAGAGTCTACATGCACAAAGTCAGGAGCCGGGGGAGGGCCCAGCCCCCACTGTCATGGGGGATGTGCAGAGAGGTTAGAATGAGTTGTGGTCTGGGAACACCACACTAAGTAATTTGTTTATGTTTTTATTTGTTTTCAAGACGGGGTTTCTCAGTATAGCTTTGTAGACCAGGCTGGCCTTGAACTCACAGAGTTCCGCCTGCCTCTGCATCCTGAGTGCTGGGGTTAAAGGTGTGCACCATCACCACCTGTTTATTTTTTGTTTTGTTTTGTTTTGTTTGTAATTCTAGGGGTGCACAGTTTCCACATAGAATCTGGGCAGATTTTGATTGGTGTTCTAGAAAGATTATTTGAAGTTTAATATCCCAGGGTAAGGGCTGGGCATGGTGGCTCACACACCTTTAATCCAGCACTCAGGAGAAAGGCTATCTCTGTGTGTTTGAAGCCAGCCAGGTCTACAGAGTGAGTTCCAGAACAGCCAGGGCTACACAGAGAAACCCTGTCTTGAAAAACAAACAAAACTAAAAAGAAATGCCTCTGTTTAAAAACATCTATTTTTCTCTATGATCTCTTGTTTTTAATTCTTTGAAAATTTCATGCTTGCATATAATGAAATGTGTCTCCCTACTTCCCCCCTCCAGCTCCCTCTGTACCCCCAAACACTTGCCCCTCCTAACTTCATGACTTATTTTCCCTTTTTGCTTATTCTTTCTCATTTCTTTAACCTGATAACTCACTAAATCTGATCAGTATTGCTCATATGTGCATGCAGGCCAGGGGGCATCCACTGGAGCGTGGGAATCCATACCCTCAAAGAACAGTTCTCTCTTCCTCAGCAACCACCATTACCAAACGCTCCTACGTGGTAAGACTTGGAGATCATCTACCCTGTCGACGTGGGGTTAGTTGCCTAGATCTCGTGTAGGTCTTATTCGGGTAACTATAGCTGCGGTGAGTTCACGGGGGAGAGCAAAGGTCATGCCATGCCCAGAAGAGAGAATTTCATATCACTCTTTCCCATTCTCCATCTTCTGCAATCTTTCCACTGCCTGTTCCAAAGGTCCCTGAGCCTTAGCAGGTGGGGAGGGATGGCGGGTATAAAGATGGCCTTAGCAGGTGGGGAGGGATGGCGGATTTGGTTTTTGGTTTGTTTTTTTTTTTTTTTTTTTTAATTATTTATTTATTTGGTTTTTCGAGACAGGGTCTCTGTATTGCTTTGGGGCCTGTCCTGGAACTAGCTCTGTAGACTGGGCTGGCCTTGAACTCACAGATTCACCTGCCTTTGCCTCCTGAGTACTGGGATTAAAGGCATGTGCCACCAATGTCCGGCTAAGGTTAGCGGTTCTAAAGATGTCCCATTTGAAGCTGAGCACCCACTCTGTTCTCTGGCCAGCTCTGCATTTGTGTCCGCATTGAATGGTGCATGCCGTAGAAAGAAGTTTGTCTGAAGCAGGGTGAGAGTAGGCCAGGTTTGTGAGTATAGGAGTAAATATTTAACAATGCATTTATTCAGTACAATAACAAGTGCAGGTTCTACCCTAGGGCTTCTCCAGGTATGGGTTTCAACTGTAGTTAGAGTACCAGACAAGAAATCCCCTCCTGTGGATCAGGCCTCAAATCCAACCAGAAAGTGGTTGGTTACTCCATAACAGTCATGGCAGTATTGTACCAGTGGCCACAGTTTACCTGGCAGGTCAGTATTGTGGCATGCAGTGTCCAGCACTCATCAAAACAATAACAAAAACCAACCCTGCTTGAATACCTTGTTTAATCAGAGAATTTTATTTTGTTGTGTTAGGATTGGGGGTGTGGTCTTTTGTGGGAGGTTGAGACAGTGTCTCATTCAGCAGCTCTGGCTGGCCTGGGACTCACTGTGTACCAGACTGGATTCCCCAGAGATCTGTCTGCCTCTGTCCCTGCCTCTGAATGTCCGATGTGTATGGAAACCAGAGAGGTGTCAGTTAACTCCCTGGAGCTGGAGTTAAAGATATTTATGAGCCATCATGTGTTTGCTAGGGACAGAACCTCTGTAAGAACAGCAAATGCTCTTAACTTCTGAGCCAACTCTAGCCCCCCAATTCTGTATAAATTATGCATCCATAGTGTTGTTCTCAAATCTGGCATAGTGTTTGAGGGTTCTCTGAGAGAAATGGAGTCTGTTTTTTGGTTCAGATGCTCTTAGCCTAGAGAACTAGAGTTCAGGAAACTCAACAGCTACCCACATCATTCTGAGCCAGTGGCTTCCGGATCCATTGTCTCACAATGGTGAAGAATGATGAGCAAGGACAGTAAGTGGACAAGTTGAGTCTTCTCCCTGATGCTCAAGAGAGGGGACTTGAAAGTGAGCTGCCCCTGGT